TGTGTGTGTGTGTGTGTGTGTGAGAGAGAGGGGGGGCTTCTTCCCAAGTTATTGAATATTTTCTTAAATAAATATTCCTCGTGACAGTGTAACATTAACCTTAATAGATGTACATATCCAACTCTGGGTGGTGGTCGGTCACTTCGACTATTTCTGTAGAGCCTCCGTGTTCCTGAAGTCTCCCGGCAGCCTCACTATTGTTTGAACTGTGTGATGACTTTTAGCATTGTTCTTGGAAGTGCAGCTGTCATTTCAGGGTCTGAATGATGGCTGTAGCCACATGACTCTCAGCTGATCGGATGGAGCTCTGGGGGCACAGTGGCTAAGTCTCTGAGCTGCTAACCTAAAGGTCAGCAGTTGGAACCCACCTGCTGCTACTTGAGACAAAGATGAGGCAGGCAGTTGGCTTCTGTGAAGACTGACAGCCCTGGAGACCCTGTGGGCAGTTCCACTCTGTCCTCTAGGGGCGCTGTGGGTCAGAATGGACTCCATGACAGTGGGTGTGGTTTGGACTTTGCTTCCCTGAAGATTGACAGCCTTGGAGACCCTGTGGGCAGTTCCACTCTGTCCTCTAGGGGCGCTGTGGGTCAGAATGGACTCCAGGCAGTGGGTGTGGTTTGGACTTTGCTTCCCTGAAGATTGACAGCCTTGGAGACCCTGTGGGCAGTTCCACTCTGTCCTCTAGGGGCGCTGTGGGTCAGAATCGACTCCAGGCAGTGGGTGTGGTTTGGACTTTGCTTCCGTGAAGATTGACAGCCTTGGAGACCCTGTGGGCAGTTCCACTCTGTCCTCTAGGGGCGCTGTGGGTCAGAATCGACTCCAGGCAGTGGGTGTGGTTTGGGCTTTGCTTCCGTGAAGATTGACAGCCTTGGAGACCCTGTGGGCAGTTCCACTCTGTCCTCTAGGGGCGCTGTGGGTCAGAATCGACTCCAGGCAGTGGGTGTGGTTTGGGCTTTGCTTCCGAGAAAATTGACAGCCTTGGATACCCCCTGGGGCAGTTCCACTTTGTCCTCTAGGGGCGCT